TAAAATAATAAAGTAGAATTAGTTCATCTTGTTGTGTTTCTATCTGGTCTACTCAGGAGGAAAGTATGAATCTTCTGCTACCTTTTTTACTGCCTGATTAGTTAGGATGGTTTCTTTCTCTGCCAGTTGCAGTCTGATCCCCCTTTTATCTGAATCTTACTTAGGCAGCATGTATCTCCTCTCGTCCTATTCCAAAATCATTCTCACATTCTATTACATAAATATGCCAAAATTACTCAAAACAGTATTCCCAATTTAAATTTTATAGCGACAGAACTATTCCCAACCATATTATAGATGCAATACTTTTCAGGAAATGCTGTGTTGTCTTTCACTCAAAATAAATCATTTGTTCCTATGTTATTAATAAATAAATGGTAATCAACAAGATAATTTAGAAGAATAGGAATAGAGAGTGTGAATATGTAGATACATGTTTATTTGTATCCAGAAACAAAATTTTAAAGACCAAGACAGACAGAATGCTAGTATGTTCATCAATTTACATCTCTAATTTTGTGAAACATTATCTTTAAGCTTGCCAGTTTCAAAATGGTGTTTTCGTCACTTTTACATTCCACTATCTGTTCTTCAGGTGTATTCCATGTTACTCAGTGTGTGACATCTTTCCTTTTAACATTAAGAAATCAAAACCAGGTATACTAAACATAGTTTCCTCCCATCCTTTATTTAAACATTAGACAAAATGCTTTGTATTTCTGACACCACTAGATTTACTATATATGACCTCAAAAAATAATTCAAACTTTTATAATCTGGAATTTCCTTGGGCAGCTTTATTCTATTTCCAAACTAATCTCTGTTGCAGCTGACCAATATTAGAAAAGGATCTACATAGTGCACAGATAAAATGCTAATTTAGTCCCCATTTAATCTACATTTTTGCTACATCTGATTTCTTTTATGTTAACCTGTAGAAATATAGACACTACATGCTCATTTTTTGGCAATTGTGTGCTTTATAATAAATGGATTACATGTTCTGACTTTTTAAAAACTCCACGATAGATTATAGGTAGCAACAATATGTAACTAAAATGGTCAGCCTGTTAAAGAATAAACTTTCTTCACTGTCTCCTATCACAATCAAGATTAATATTAAATTGAAAGTATTTTTAGGATTAATTTATTTTATATAATTTACCTTATATATTTTTTTAGAATTAATTTACCTTATATTAATTTTAGGATTAATTTACCTTATGTACCTTATATCAATTAGTCACTGTAGAAAAAATATGAAAATACAAATTTTCATATGTAATCATATTACATATGGATTATAGTATGCTTTATTTTCTAGCTCCTAGGTGAATCAGTTCTGGTTCCGTGACATTCCAGGAACAAACTGCTTTTAGCATAAGCAGCTAAATGAACTGGACTGGACTGGACTGGACTGGAAGTAGGATTAGGACTAGGACTAGGACTAGGACTAGGACTAGGACTAGGACTAGGACTAGGACTAGGACTAGGACTAGGACTAGATTAATAGGAATAAACTACAGATTGTTTTTCCCGGGATATACTTTCTATGATATAGAAACTGAAATTCATGGCTTGTTTTACCATAGAAACTAAACATTATAATTTCTGACTCTGGCTGACAAGTCAGAGTCACCAATTATGGTAAACAATGTGTTTTGTTTAGCTGCTTCTGCCAGCAGCAAAAGTCACACAGGAAAGTCAAACTTGCATCTTCTCTTCCTTTTTCCTTGTCTGGCAGGACGCAAAAAAAACAACAACCCCACTTTCATTTTTAATTAATATTAAATCAAAATTGAGACTGACATCTTAATTTATGATTATGAAATAAGACAGTCTCATAAGGCGTTTATATCTAGTTTGTTGACCAGTTCTGTTTGACCTAATCAGACTTCATTCTGCATTAGGACTTAATAAAAAATTCTGGCTGGTTTAAAAATGAAAGCCCTAATCTTCTTGAAGGTATGCAAAAAGTCAGAAAGGAAATTAAAGGTTTTTTTAAAAATTCATATGTATAGTGCTAAATTAAGGTCTGGAATTATGGTTGAAAAGACCCATGTATGCCATCATTTTCTTTATATAAATGCCTACGAATACGAAAACATTTATGCATGATAAATCCCAAAAATACAGCAAAAATACTAACATTATTCTTATTTCTGTGGCTTAACCATTCAATACTAACCAGAAAGCCTGAAGGGGAACTCAGAAAAGTGTGCTGAGTCTACTGATGATAATAATAAATTAAAACCACATGCTTCATTGAAATAAGCAATTTTTGGTGAAACGTAATTAAAGAAATGTAAATACTGTGTAATTGTTTATCAGTAACCAGGTAAATGAGCTTAAAGACTTCATAATGATGTTAGTTAAATGTAATCTGTTCCAAGGTTAGTACACTGTTTAAATAGGCTTTTTAGGTCACACGGAATGATCTGCATGTGGTCTCATAAAAGCTAAAGCACAAGCAACAGGGATTACCATAATTACTTCATCAAACTACAAGTAGCTAATGGGATTATACCCTAAGGGTAAGCAATTATTCCCTGCATACAGAATAAATGTGCTGAGAGAGGTGGAAAAGAGCAAATATTATAGCAATAGGATAAATAGGTCCAACATCGCGGATTGAAGACCAATGGAAGTAAATTGCTATAACTTCAAAGAATCTGAGTTTCTTTGCCTCTTCCTCTGCTATAATTTTTGTAGATCACTCACTCCCTTTTCCTCTTACACAAACACACATGCACACACACACAATACATACACCACACACATATATACAGATACGTAGACACATACATATTCATCATAATATTCCTTTTGGATAAATCAATGCTATACAAAGCACAGGAAAGGAATAAGGAACGGCAAGGCAAAGGTATTAAATGTATGAGATGAGCAGCAGATAAGGAAACATAGTTCAAAATAGTTTACATGCAAACAGTTTACTGTAATTCTGTACCAGTCTACCTTTGCAAAATATCCATGCTTCCACCTTCTACACACAGTATACTGTTTTGTAAATTGCTTTTTGTTCTTTCAATTTCTCATTTCTATCTTTTGCATGATCATATCAACAATGAAGGTCAACAATTCTCTTGATCTTTCCCTTCATCTACATTCCTTAACTTTGTCTTCATGCCAAATCACCTGAACATATCACATGTGAACTGATTTCTCAGTATTATTTTCCTGAAAAAACTGCTAGTGCAGTAAAGACCAGAATTGGGACCAGAATTTTTATTGCTAAGCAATAAGGTTGTAAAGTGCAATGTCACATAACCGCAATGCTTAGATTCAGCAATCCCATCACTTCCCATTGCGGTTGTTAACCAAAAATTGGGGGTTGCTATGTGAGTACCCACCTGAAGCTATACCAGTCTGTGCTTGGTCTCACCAAACTCCATGCCTCAGTAAAGTAAGGGTCTTCTCTTTAACTCCTCCTACTCACCTATCTTTCCCATGTCTTTCCCCTATTGTCCGCCCTATACACTGCCTTGTGGAGCAGCAAGGACTCCCAGAACCATGCAGCTCTGGGACTGCTTGCCATGCTGCAGCTCAGGCTTCTTGGCACACTGCAATATTGGAGTTGTAAGAAATCTGAGCCACAACACAGTGTGAAACTACCAACCAGAACCATGGCACAAGCCACTGATTTAACAAATTCTAGCTGCTTCAAGAGTCAAAGCTGCTTACCCAGGACCGCAGGCCAACTGCCCTCACTGCCCTGCACTCCAACACCCCAGCTGACCTTTTAGTATCTTCTTACTCCTGCTGCTGCTAAGGCATACCCACCTTGGCCCTTCATAAAGCAGCTGGTAGCCACATTATCTTCCCCAGGTCTCACAAGGACAGCCTTGGCCTTGCTGTTCTCTAAGGCCCATTCTCACAACGCTTCAGAAAACCTCAGAAACTTTTTAAATGCTTTCAAAGGATCATGAAAATGGGGCACACTATTTGGTGCAGTTTTGAGAAGGGGCCTGGCATGGCCAGTAGCATGCCACAGATGCACTTTATCAACAACAGAAGGAAGGCAGGAAAAGTCAGCTGGGCACGGATGGGTTCAGCAGGCATACAGAATACATAGCAGTGGAAACAACTGAGGCTTTGCACTGTGATGCTGGGGTGGGTGGCTGGCCATGCTGGGGTTGGCATTTCTCAGTGGCAGCAGTGGTGCTTAGGCTGAAGTAGAGGCCTGGGAGGAATGGCAGCTGGCTGATATGGCTTAAGGTCCCAGGTTCCTATTTCAGCCCCAATCCTGCAACTGCCACCAAAGAGTGTTGCTAGATAGGGTGATTAAAAGAGTATAGGAGGTCGAAATAGGTAGGTGGAAAGAGCAGGTGTGGTCATAAATGGAGGCAGGCTGCCAAGTGTTTCAATTTGGTCACATGGCTGTGGATGTACCAAAAAGGCCATAACTTCTGCAACTGGACATAAGTCACTTTGTTCAGCACTTTCATAACTGTTGAATGATCACTGAACAAATGGTCATAAATCAAGGACTACCTGTATAACAAAGCAGGCAAAAACATGCTGTTGTACACAACCCTTTTTGTTTATTCACTTAGTTTCCTACATGTGGTAACTTGTAAACAAGTAGATTAATCTACTTGCTCTAAACCTTCCCTATTGATGTATATCATTAATTCATTTTTCCCTGCCTAAAACACAAGTACCTTGTGATTGATACATTAATTTTCTGAGTCACATTCTTTGCTGCATTATACAATTTGTATAACATTTCTTGTAAATTAGTTGGGTCCTCAATCCTTACCCCGCATATTAGTATGCACAATCTGCCCAGTAAAGTATATGTAAATTGATAACCTCAACCGATAAATCTCTACTATCATCTTATATTAGCATCAAGCCTAGAGTTGGTCATTTTAATTAAATAGATTGCAATGTTACCAATGGAAACAATTTGTTTAACATGAAAATTTTTCAGGAATTTGGTCTCTATCCTTTTCATTTGTATGTGAATCCTGAAATACCTTTAATGATCAGTTCTGCATAATTTGATACTCCAATTCCTCCTTCTGTGCGAATCATGCAGCGGTAATTGCCAGCATCCCGTTTAGTAGCATTCACCACACTAAAAGAAGCTACAAATCGACGATCATTAAAAATTTTCATGTCCTTCAAAGGTGCATCCCGTACAAGCAATCCCTAATGAGAAACAAATACAACAATTTATTTTAATATATACTTCATTTGTAAGTATTTTATAATAAATATTAAGATTAATGTTGGCATGTAAATAAGCATATGCATATTTTTGTCATCCTGTTCCCCACCCCCCCCCTCTTAAGCCTGCTGTGTTACTTAGCATGACAAGGTCATGGTGTTCCTGGGAGGGATTAGTGAAAACTGTTGGAAGTGTATGCCAAAAGTATATACTGCCAGGGTCACCCAAAGCATGAAGCTCTTCCCAGCTGCCCAGCTAAAGCAAACAAGTACCTATATTGGGCAGCAGAGATCTAGAAAGATAGCAGAGGCAGATAATCGCCTTAGTGACAATGGCAAAGGCATCAATTCATGCTGTGCAAGAGAAGGCAACGGTAAACCACTAATGTATTTTTACCAAACCACATGAATAGAAAATATAAAATGACCGATGTTGTATGAAGGAAGATGGGCCCCTTAGTTCAGAACATAGTACTGAGAAAGAACAAATCTTTCAGAAAACTAATAGTTTAAGACATGGCTAGATTAAAGCCTTTGGAATGTCTAATATTGTCATGCAAGAAAAGAAAAACTGAAGCTGAAAAGATAGAATCAAAGCAGGAACATGGAACATTAAAAAGCAGGAACATGGGAAAGCTCAACACCCTGAAAGATGAAATGAAACTACTACAGATTGACATTTTAGGCATCGATGAATTGAGATGTACTGGGATTGGACAATTTCCTCTAGAAATTGTTTATTACTCAGGAAATAAAAAACATAGAAGAGATTGTGTTGCTTTTATAGTTAGTAAGGGTACAAGAATAGCATTTGGTTACAGTGCAATCAATGACCGAGTAATATTGATTAGACTTCATGGAAATATGACGATCCTTTAGATTTATGTTCCAACCACTGATACAGAAAAGGAGGTTGATGAGTTTTATGATCAAATTCAATTTGAAATCAACAGAACATGTAAGCAAGATGCATATCTACCCTTTTAAAGAGACTGTTGAGCATCCTGGATTTTTAGAAAATGCAAGTTAACTTTTGTAATGCACTTATTTATATATATACACACACAAAAATAGTTTTCTAGCTTTGTATAATTTTCTTTACAGATTAGAATCTATATTTTAGAGGATAAAAGACATATCATTATCAGTATTGTTTTAAATATGGTTTTCTATATTTATTATATGGGGGAAAAATACAGGGGAAAAATATGGGGAAAACCAATATAGGGAGTGTTGGAAAAGACAGAAACATTTAAGTGTAGAATGGTGATTCCTTGTGTTTTACCTGTTTCAGCAAAGTTTTTCTTCCAAAGAAAATATATTTAAGTCTACCAAATGTATGCACCTCTTTTATTTTTATATATTGTACTACTTTTAAATGCTTGATCTATAAAAAAATTCATATATCAGCAAGTGATACCAAATAAGCAGGCAAATAAACAAAAAAACCTAAAAACACACCTCATAGCAAAACAGTATGGTGCATACAGCAGTTTTCCTTAATGCTGTTGTAACCAGTTGTAACCTCTACATTTTATGTCCCCCCAAATCCCCTACAAAGAACCTCTGATTCTTTCTAGACAGGCTGACTCCAATAAATGGATAAGTTTGTTTGAGATGCCTGTTCCATTCTTGGACAAGAATATTTTCTTGCATTTATGCATTCATCAACCTTCCCTCCAATACTAATTTGGTAAGGGAACTGCCTGGGCAATGAAAATGAATAGAAAACTTCAAGGTTGAACTTCCTTGTACTGCAAATAACCAAAGGCTTAAGCAAGACCCAGGAGCATCTGCAGAATTTAAGTGCTTAACTGTGCATATCTAATATTCTTTAAATTATGCTAGTGGGTTTTATGTTTTCAGCATTTTATCATTTAAGTTGCAAAACATATGAAGCCCAATCTTCCAGACTTTATGAAGTGGAAAGAGCTAACAAAATATCAGCAAACAAAACAGAGAACCTATTAGGGAAATGCTGAACTTAGTCTGTTAATTATGGTTGTCAACATGTTGAAAGTAACCTTATGCTATTTATAGCTTTTGGAAAATTTTGCATAATGTCAACATTAATTGATCCATGTACATAATTCATTATGTGAAAGTTAAGAATGAATCAAATTATGCCCAATGACTGGAGATTGAAGAGTAAACAACAAATTTTAATTTCAGCAATAAATATAACAATAATAAAATAATTTAACCTCTGCAAGTGATTTTTCAATGCTGTCTTATTTAACAAATTATTAAGACTTAATTTCCAAAAGCTAAAGCTCAAAAATGATAATACTTGGAAACAATTTTGAATATGAATCTAATTTCAAAAAGATTTATTTACTTTCAGTACATAATTTGTCAATATAATAAACAGAAAACCTGATTATTCATAGTTAACTGTATGTATATTGGGCTGCATTGACTGAAATAAATCTGAATCATGAAAAAGTGAATTAATTGGAATTAACTGAATCTGAATTTAGCATTCAGCAAAAAGTCAATTTCTGTCTTTATTTTTAAAAAATATAATCATTTTGAGAATAGTTAGTTCTCTAGGTAATAATTAGTAAACACCAAAATCTTAATTCTTTTTTATTTATTTATTTATTTTTGCACTATTTCTTAATCCTCTTCAGAAGCTTTTTAAAAAATAAATAAACAAAAAGGTTAAGTACAATAATTTAATTTAATTAATCATATTTCTATGATTAGAAATCTATGATATTTCTAGAGCATCCATGTTGCACTCTACATTGGACTACCTTTGAAGAGCATTAAGAAACTTCAACTGATGTAGATTGCAGCATCGTGGGAAGTTCTTGGGGTTCCTAGGATCACCCATGTTACACCAATACTCCACAAGCTGCATTGACTGCTGGTCTCTTTTGGGTGCAACTCAAGATGTTGATTACTACCTTTAAAACCTGCATGGCATGAGCCCAGGTTACTTGAGGAACTGTCTCACCCCACTGGGACAGGCCGAGCCTATCCACGCTGGCAGAGGAGGCATGCTGCAGGCCCCGCTTGTCAAGGAATTCTGGTTGACAGGGCCCAGAAGGGCCTTCTCTGATGTGGCTCCTGCCTTTTGGAACATCTTAATCCCTGAGGAGAGATTGGCTCCCACCTTTCTGACTTCCACTAAGGCCCTGAAGTATTGGCTCTGCCAGATGACTTGGGGCCCTAATGGGGGAGCATCACACTGGAAGTGCTTGATGAATTAAAAGGCAATCTTTCCCTGTACATCGTCCTTCTCGTCCCATCTTTTAACTATAATTTTACCTTGATTTGGATTTTCATTTTTATTGTTTTAGAGATTTGTTAGACTTTTAAAGTTTTAATGCTAAAGCCAAAGTCGTTTTGTTACTAGATGGGTGGTAAATAAATTTAATAAATAAATAGTAACTAAATAAATTGGAATACTTTTTTTAAAAAAAAGTTGGCATTCAAATTCTAATATGTATTCCCCTCACCTGTGTAATTGAGATCCAGTTGGCATTCATAAATTTATATGCAGACTAAATAACATTTAATTTTAGATTAAAATGTTATATCAGAATTACCTATTTTAGGGAAAATTGCATGATGCTATTGGGAATATGTGCATTCTTTTTTACCATGAATTCAAATAAGGAATCAAATATACCACAGTGAATATCTACATTTCCAGCAGAAAAGAATCTCCTTTTTTATCTTATTATCATGATTTGCAGTTGGGACATCCCTGACTTTGAGTGAATGCAATTGTGATAGTTGCTAGACACGGGGAGATAATAATTCTTTATATTGTAATGGTAAATGGTATGTTCTTCTAATATCCTAGCTTAACAGTAATAATAATTTTGCTGCTCACAGAGGCATGAAAGAAATACGTGAATATATACATGATTTACTATGAAAGATCAGTTTGGTACTACGAACAGAATGCAGGAAAAATGGTCATTAGAAAATTTAAAAAATAACTTGCTGAATATGATCTCTCACTTACTGAAGATACACTAAATTTATTTCTAAATTTTCATTAACAAAATGTATTAAATGATTTCCTTGGCACAATCACTTGATTTAAATATTACCAACTAGCTGGTTACCCATGCTTTGCTACGAAACTATGTGATCGGGCTTGATAAATCGACACTTACAGCTTGAAAATTAATAAGTAGTTACGATCAGCCTCTCCTCCCTTCTCTCCCTTCGCCTTGCCCAACAGAAATGTCTCCTATCCTATCCCCTTCTCTCCTTCAGGCTTGCCCCACCGAAGCCTCCCTATCTTATCCCCTCCTCTCCCTCAGCCTTGCCCCACAGAAGCCTCCCCTATCCTGTCCGATTCTCTCCCTCAGGCTTGCCGCACAGGGGCCTCTCCTATCCTATCCCCTTCTCTCCCTTAGCCTTGCCCCACAGAAGCCTCCCCTATCCTATCCCTTGGTTGCTGCTGTGAAAGTAAAACTGAAAGTGAAACTCTTCTCCCCTGCTTGTGTTTTGCATTTGGAACAGATTTCTTTTCAGGTGGGGAGGGGGAATAGAACTCCTTAGCATCAGAGCGTGTTAATCATAATATAGGAAATACTAATGCTCTGATGGTCATTTCCAAAAATCCTTTCTTAGTGAGCACCTAGAAGCCAAAAGTTCGAGAGATAAGGAGATAGACATGTTTTTCCTTAAACTATGGCCAGAACTTTCAAAAGGACACTGAGTTTGTATACTTCCATTTTTCATCACTTTTGCAAAATAAATTTCAGCTATTAGGAACCTTTGGATCAACAAATCTTACAGCATCAGATGAGTTTCCATCAATCCTTAACAAAAGAAGGTTTAAGTACAAGCTTAATGACTAAATGGTTTTTTTAAAGAATAAACAGCAAAAGGGTGATTAGTAGTCTGATTTTAGAAAGTTATAATTGGACTAAAGTCCGGATAAATTTGAAATAAGATTTTGAAATTATTTGTAATAATTCTTCCCATGAATAAATGTTCTTTTTTTCAATTCT